GCTGCAGTTCGCGGTGCATTTGCAGGTGGCGAAGTCAGGTTCGGTTGGGCGGGATGGTTGGCAGTGGTGGCAGGGGGGCGGGAAGCGGTTTGAATCTGTGGTGAGGGTCGCGGCTGGGTGAATGTGTTTCTGAAATTTGATGACGCGCTTCGGGCATGGGTTGAGCTGATTCTCCCCCGAGTTGGAGTTTGTGACTGGGCCTCCTCCGAGGCATTCGAAGTTGAGGGTGCGCCTTCTTCTCCCTCCTCCGCCTCATAAATACTCCCCGATACTTCTACTTCTTCGTTAGTTCTAGCTAATTCAGTTAAAGCCCTTCGCGCCGCTGCCTGGAACGCGTTCTCCGGACCTCCTTCACGAGTGCCTCTACCACGTCCGCGACCTCCGGCTCGACCCCCTCGTGCCCGCGCACTGGCCGCGGTCAGCTGGGGATTTCCGCGACTACCTACTCCCGCGTTCTGACGCAGCCGTGCGTCCTCGATCACCTGCTGTCGGCGCGTTCGCCGCAATGGCGACTGAAGCGGAGAAGTCAGCGGTGGATCAAGGTCGCACCGCTGAGAGCGCGATTGCACCGCCTCCAGCCCTTGTTGCTGGTGTAGCTGTTGCTGCTGCTCCCTTTGCCCCCCCGGCTCCTCCTGTTGCTGTTGCGGCGTCCTCTGTTCCAGTCCCGCCGGTGTCGGCTCCCCCTCCGAGCCTTCCACACGTTGATCCCACGTCCGGCGCGCCGGTTCCCGTCGCGCAGCCGTCGCTTGTGGCCGCGCTGTCTGTCCAAGCTGCCGCCGGGGGCCCTGCGCCGGGGACAGCGGTGGGCGCCGGCCCCGACTCTGCCCGCCTGGTGGCCCCTGCGGCTGCGCCGGTGCATCCCGTCGCGCAGCGGCACGCGGAGTCTCAGATTCACGGTGCCGCGGGGGGCAATGCGGCAGCGCATCGGGGGCGAGGTTCTCCTCGGCGACGCCCCTCCTCGTCGTACCGGTCGGCGCACCGCGGAGGCCGCGGTGGCTGGTGGGGAGGTCACGGTCGCGGGCGCGGTGGGCCAAGCGAGATGCAGCAGCTGCACGAGGATTTCCCGGGGATGTTAGCTGCGGCGATGCGCAGTGCCCTGAGTGGCGCACCGAATCTTGGAAACTCTCTGGCTCCCGCCGCTCCTGCGTCCGCCCCCGCTCCAGTGAATGCGCAAGCTCCGGCCGCGCCCCTTGCTGCTCCTGCGCCACCCGCATTGGCGTACCCGCGGGTTCCCGCTCCTGGCGCTGATCGTGCTCCGCGTGCATCCTTGTGTCCTGTTTCTGCTGCGCCATATCCCCTGCTGCCATGGATTCCTCCTCTTCCAGACACGGGATTTGTGGGGGCGGGAGGCGGAGGGGCGAGGGTGGCCTTCGTCCCTCCGCGGCAGCGTGCTGATGTTCCATCAGTGCAGCCCCCGCCCCCTCTTCCTGCTCCGGCTGCGCTACTGACCACTGGGCTGGCCCAAGTTCCCACGGCGACTCTCGCCCAGTTGTGGCGATTGGTGGAGTGTCAGCAGGCCTTGACACTGATTCTGGTGAACTCACATTTTGCCATTCTCCGGAACCCAGGGAGCACTCTTGATCATGATGCGCGAGCTGATTGCATGGCGGCTGCTGCCCAGCTTGCCTTCCTCCTCCTACCCGTGCTGGGAGCGCCCGCGCTGGGAGGCGTAGCGGTCTCGCAGCTGGACGAGACGGTCCAGGGTCTGACAGCACACCTCCGCGATGAAGGCGCGATTGAAGCTGTCGGCGCGACCGCGTTAGTGGTGCAGCAGTTGTGGAGGACCATGCGCGCTGGATGCCCACTTGATGTAGCCTCAGGCACCCGCCGTATGTAGACCTGTTGCATCTCGGTGTCTAGAAGGTGGGCACATTGCCCATAGTTGTCTTGCCGTGTGTGCCTATATCTGTCCTACCTCTAGTCTTTGCCACCCAAAAGCACGCGGCCGCAGGCCGCGCACGCGAGTGCTGGCGGCCGAAGGCCGCCAGCGCGAGCGCCTACGAAAACTGGAACCAAATGAACTAATGAAGAAAAGAGGTCTCCACGGGACACTTATATAGCTAGGGACTGAGGGCAGAGGCAGAGGGCAGAGGCTAAGTCCTCTCTCTCTCTCTCTCTCTCTCTCTCTCTCTCTCTCTCTCTCTCTCTCTCTCTCTCTCTCCCGTTGCGCCCATCCCTCCTCACCCTCTCAGGTATGCCACGCTGTGTCTGCAGGAGAATCCCGGGTGTCTCTTCATCGCCACCAACTGTGACGCCGTGACGCACCTGACAGACGCACAGGAGTGGGCGGGCGGAGGCACGATGGTGGGCGCCATCAAGGGGTCGACCAAGAAGGAGCCCGTGGTGGTGGGCAAGCCCTCTACTTTCATGATGGACTACCTCGCCAGCAAGTGAGATGCGAGGGGGGAAGAGGGGAAGAGGGGAAGAGGGGAGAGGAAGGGGGGGATTGGGAGGGAGAAGAGTTTGATTAATCCAATGTGGGCAAGCCCTCCGTGTGCGCAATGGTGGGCGCCATCAAGGGGTCGACCAAGAAGGAACCCGTGGTGGTGGGCAAGCCTTCTACATTCATGATGGACTATCTCGCCAGCAAGTGAGCCCAGCACAGGGTGTGAGGCAGGGACGGGAGGACGGGGTGGGGGGGTGCTTGGTTGATTCAATGGTGGGCAAGCCCTCCACCTTCATGATGGACTATCTTGCTGCCAAGTGAGCGCAGGGTGTAAGAGGCAGGGACGGGGGGGCGGGGTGACGGGGTGCTTGGTTGACGCAATGGTGAGCAAGCCCTCCACGTGCGTGCACGATGGTGGGCGCCATCAAGGGGTCGACCAAGAGGGAGCCCGTGGTGGTGGGCAAGCCCTCCACCTTCATGATGGACTATCTCGCTGCCAAGTGAGATGGGGGGTGGAAGAGGGGAGAGGGAAGGGGGGTGGTGGATGGAGGGGGAGAGTTTGATTGATCCAATGTGGGCAAGCCCTCCACCTTCATGATGGACTATCTCGCTGCCAAGTGAGTGTGGGGTGTGAGAGGCAGGACAAGGGGGGTGGGGGGCTTGATTAGTCCCTCCAAGAGATCAACCAAGAGGGACCCCGTGGCGGTGGGCAAGCCCTCCACCTTCATGATGGACTATCTCGCTGCCAAGTGAGATGCGAGGGGGGGCAGTCACAACGAGACAGGCGGGGGAGGGAAGGGCAATGTGGAAGGATGGGGGCTTTGTGAACTCAATGGTGGGCAAGCCCTCCACCTTCATGGTGAACTATCTCGCTACCAAGTGGGTTGCGAGGGTGTGAGAGGCAGAGAGTGTGGCCCGGGGGAATGGGGGGATGGGGGGCGTTGATGTATGTGATAAGCCCTCCATCTTCATGGTGACCTACCTCGCTACCTCACTACCTCACACGCTCCCTCTGGTAAACCCTGTCACCCCCCAGGTTCGGCATTGCCAAGAACCAGATCTGCATGGTGGGGGACCGGGAATGATTGAGGCGTGTCTTTCTTCACGCCATGCCTTCACCGCCCATTCCCCCTCTGCCTCGCCCCTGTCACCCCCAGGTTCGGCATTGCCAAGAACCAGATCTGCATGGTGGGGGACCGGGAATGATTGAGGCGTGTCTTTCTTCACGCCATGCCTTCACCGCCCATTCTCCCTCTGCCTCACCCCTGTCACCCCCAGGTTCGGCATTGCCAAGAACTAGATCTGCATGGTGGGGGACCGGGAATGATTGAGGCGTGTCTTTCTTCACGCCATGCCTTCACCACCCATTCTCCCTCTGCCTCACCCCTGTCACCCCCAGGTTCGGCATTGCCAAGAACTAGATCTGCATGGTGGGGGACCGGGAATGATTGAGGCGTGTCTTTCTTCACGCCATGCCTTCACCACCCATTTTCCCTCTGCCTCACCCCTGTCACCCCCAGGTTCGGCATTGCCAAGAACCAGATCTGCATGGTGGGGGACCGGGAATGATTGAGGCGTGTCTTTCTTCACGCCATGCCTTCACCGCCCATTCTCCCTCTGCCTCACCCCTGTCACCCCCAGGTTCGGCATTGCCAAGAACCATATCTGCATGGTGGGTGGGACGCCTACCTCCACGCCAATGGAGTTGTCTGTTTTTTATGTCACACCTGCCACTCACATTCTTCATCTGTCTCACCCCTGTCACCCCCAGGTTCGGCATAGCCAAGAACCAGATCTGCATGGTGGGGGACCGCCTTGACACGGACATTCTCTTTGGGCAGAACGGCGACTGCCGCACGCTGCTGGTGCTCTCAGGTGAGACTGCCGCACGCTGCTAGTGCTCTCAGGTGTGCTCCCTGCGCTCTTACGTGTGCTTTAGGCCCTCCTAGGTAAATTGCTGGTGCGCGCACGTACCTGCAGTCCCAGTGCACCTGCACTCCCAATGCACCTGCACTCCCAATGCACCTGCACTCCCAATGCACCTGCACTCCCAATGCACCTGCAGTCCCAATGTAGCTGCACTCCCAATGCACCTGCACTCCCAATGCACCTGCAGTCCCAATGCACCTGCAGTCCCAACGCACCTGCAGTCCCAATGCACCTGCACTCCCAATGCACCTGCACTCCCAATGCACCTGCACTCCCAATGCACCTGCACTCCCAATGCACCTGCAGTCCCAATGTTGTTTGACACCATACCAGTTTTCTATCCAACCCCTCTGCACGCCTTCTTTTTCTACCTCTGCGTCCCACGTCAACTCGTCATCCCACTGCCTTGCAACTCCCTGCCTGCCGCCCCAGGAGTCACGACTCTGGAGACCCTCAACAGTCCCGACAACACCATCCACCCCGACTTTTACACATCCCAAATCAGTGACCTGCTCTCAGCTGCAAAATAAATTGCAGCTGCATCCTTCGTAAACTACTAGTTGATACAGTTTATCCTTATAGGTATTTTCATGGTTTAAAAGTTGGATTTCTTATTGTAATCTATTACCAGTACAAGCACACAAGACAGCAAATCAAAACAATGAGTTGGGGGATTGACACCCTTCTACACCGTACTAGTATCCTTGACATCAAGAGAGGACAGGGAACCACCACCAACCAGCCCTGCAACATCAGAGCCCTCCTCTGGCTCAAGCTTCTTGTCCCAGGCGAAACACAGCACTGTAGTGGCAACCCCTGTAGTGAGGACGGAGGAGAGTGCTACAACGGATAGAAGAGAAACCACAAAAACAATTAATAATGCTTCCATGAGGACAGCTAGACCCCCTAGCTGCATAGGACTATTTCCCAGTGGAAACAACGCCCCTTGAACAAAGACCTGCAAATGGATAGAGGCGATAAGGAATCCATGTCAGAAGAACACGCCTGTTGCAAATGTGCTTTATACGAGAGTAAACATGCAGGATGGCCTGTGGAGAATCGTGCACTAACACAGAAGAAGCATGTAGGGACAGAGCATACTCACCCCAATTAGCCCGATGATGTTGTAAATGATGACAATGGGAACTGTCAGCACGGCAAGCAGGGCCAGTCCAGCAGCATTGGCCGTGACAATGAGCGCCAGGAAGCGCTGCAGAATGTCAAGAGAGAGACGCAGAGAGCGGGTGAAGCCATGGCCGCTCATGGCAGCGGTGGGGAGGACGAGGCAGTTGAGGAATAACCGGATGGCAATCTGTGTGCAGTGAAGCAGTGCCACCAGAAGGCAGCCCAGGATGCTCTCGCCGAAGAGAGCGAGAAAGAGGGAGGAGAGGAGGAGTTTGACAGTGGTGGCGGCACAGGAGGTGATGGCAACGGCACAGCAGGTGCCCAGGGATGAGGTGCAAGCTAGGGAGAAGGCTGAGGAGAAGAGCTCTAGCTGGCCTCTCAGTGTCACGCCCTCTTCCCTTTCACCCGCCTTCCCGTCCTCGCTGCTACTCCTGCTGCTGCCGCCGCTGGTTGTGACATACAGCCGGGCAAAAACAGCTGCTGTGGAGTAGGTGAGGAGAGCTGAGAGCACTTGAGCAATGAAGAGAGAGGTGGGTAGCAGGAGGACGAAGAGGATGTCACTAGTATCACCCTCAAGGCTATACATCAAAGGGAGGCCCAGGAACAAAGCTGCAAGCATGATGGGGAGTGGCATAAAGAAGATGACTGGGGTCTGGACGATGGCCGTATGAGCGGCATGCGCAACAGCAGAGGCGGCAAGAGGGAGGTGGTGGTTGCAGCGCAGCACGAGGAGCATGGCGACAACGCTGAGCAGCCCCAAGACGACGAATGCGATGAAGTAGAGAGGATGGGCTATGAGATATGCATAATACAGCGCCACGTCCAGCCGATTCTCGCCTTGCAAGGACCGCCCGCGCGCTCTCTTTCCCGCGTCTGACGCGTGGTTTTGGAGATGACGGCGGGCGGCGGAGTGGGCGGCGTGCCGTGCGGTTACGGTTACCACGGGGTGTGCAACGGCGGGCAGTGTGAGCTCCAGGAGGCCCCTGCCAAGCTCACTCGTGGACGCAGCGCTGCTGCTGCTGGTAGGTGCGCTGCCGCGCTGCTGCTGCTGCTGCTGCTGGTAGGCCTCAACCTCCACTGCCGCGTCATCAGCGATGCTCACCGCCGCTTCAGATGGGTCCTCCTGCCCCTCCATGTAATTCCCCATGGCCCCCTCCGTTCCCCCTTCCGTTCCCCCTTCCGTACCCCCTTCCGTTCCCCCTTCGGTACCCCCTTCCTTACCCCCTTCTGAGGCTTCAATCGCCGCTTCTATCATGGAGGCTTCTTCTTCCGCCATTTCTTCGTTCGTCTTCTCGCTCCCCCCCTCCGCGCTTTCCGCAACGTCCGTGTTCACAGAAAAGTCACTCGACGAGCCATCGCGGACTGGCGCGTATACCACCGGGGATACGTCCGCTGAATTTGGCGGCACGAGCGCGGGCGCCATGTATTAATGCACGGCGGAGGTGGCGCTTTGCAGGGCGCAAATCACGGCGGCGAGAATTATGAGCGCGTTCAAGACGCGAGCGGGGATTTTGCGGAGCGAAGAGACGATCAACATGGGGAGGGGAAGGCTGAAGGCGAAGAGGAGAATCAGCGCAACCGGATAGAGGGAGGGAGAAATTAGGAGGGGACTTGAGGAATCGAAAAGCGAGTAGACGAAGGCGTGGAGGGCCGCAACGAGAAGGACGACGAGCGGCACGGCGAAGACGAACCGCCATCCCGCGTCGCGAACTGGGCGCTCGTTGAAATTGAAAATGGCGGACGATTTGTCGAAATAGTTCCAGCCGCCAGCCGTAAGATCGTCGAAGCTTTTTTTAGGAATGTGCGCCGCGGATTTGCGAGCTTCAGCCTGCTCTTCCCGCGGCTCGGCCTTCAACGGAGGGAAATCGACGGCGTGCGACACGAGGTGGTCGGATACTGTGACTTTCACGTCGCCGTCTTGCGCCCATTGCTCCGCGTTCTGGTGTTTTTCCGCGCGTTCCGTGGGCTGCGTGTGTTCGAAGAGAGGGGGAGGGGAGTACGCGCCTTCGGTCTCGGACGTCGTACTCGTTAATGGAATGTTCTCACTCATTTTCCAGGTCTTTAGTATCTCAAGGGCTGAAAATGGCGGCACCAACGAGGCTACTTGTAACCAAGTTCGTTGCGGCTTTTACGATACAGACGAGCGACTATTACTGGCAATGATCGCGGAGTGGAGGTGAGAAGTGGGACTGACTTGGCTCGTGTTATAAACTAGGAGGGGCAGTTGAGAGGACTGCAGTGGAAGTTGAGCTGGCAATGGGGATGCATTGCGGTGAGGGGCAGTAGGAAGGCGTGGGAAGGAGAGAGAACAGATGGGTGCAGGGAAAGGGACAACCAGAATGGCGGGGTGGGGTGCGGTGGGCGTGGCACGATCGAGCTGGGGCTGGTAGGTGGGCGCGATGAAGATGAAGCGGGGCGAATGTTGCGATTTTCTGAAGCTGACGAAGATGGATTTCGCCCAGCTGGATGGCGACGTGGATGGATCTCTCGAGTCGAGGCTTTCTTCTACTGGCGGGCGCTTCGCATGACTGCACTTCCTGATTCATGCGAACACGCAACAAAGAGAGTTCAATGACTCCTATTGACCCAGAGGAACAAGAATCAAGCAGGTGTAGTTCTTACACATACGGTATTACTACAAAGAGATAATCCAAAATGCAGCAGACTTGTACCGGTAGTGATAGCTGGTAGCTTAGTCTAAAAATATAACAGAGCTGCATGTGTCTTACCCTTATGGCTCATTGATTAACCTTAAAAAGCTTAAGGGATCGCCTTCACACCGACATTCCCTTAGGAAGACAAAGCGGCGGCTGCTGCTCCCTGCTCTCATGTGACACGGTATATACCGTATGTGGTGCCCTTGTTAGAATCTAGAGCGGATGAATGAATCAGAGAAGAGGGTTTTCACTAGCAGGCAGTTGAGTACATATAGCAAACCCTAAATTAAGCTGTACTCACTGTAGAGTACCCCACTGCAGACTAGAGAAATTACACATTCTGACACACCCCCATAGTCAAAGTGGGGTATGATCAGCACAAGCAGCAGTTTATAGTTAACAAATATAAGCAAAGCTAGAAGCTATCACAAAGGGAAAGTGTGGAGGAGGAGGGACTATGAGAGGAGAGGAGGTAGTGGGCGGCAGCTGAAGCTGCTGGCACACGGCGCAACTGGAGCAGCTGGCACACGGGCAACTGGAGCAACTGGCACACTGGCAACTGGAGCAACTGGCACACGGGCAATTGGAGTAACTGGCTCCGCGGCTAACTCTGAGCGGCAGGAGCAACGGACCCACGGGCGTCTGGAGCAACGGGCTCACGGGCAACTGGAGCGACGAGCTCACGGGCGACTGGCGCAACGGTCTCACGGGCGACTGGAGCTGTTGGCTTCACGGCGACCACCCCCCTTCAACCTCCCCAAACTGTCCCACCCCCCTTTCACACACCCCCTGCGGTACCTCTAGCACTGCTCCCACGCCACCCCCTTAGTACCACTCCGACGGCTCCAACACATCCACCCCCTCAGCGGCAGCTGCAGCAGCGGGAGACGGAGGAGGAGGAGCAGGGGAGGCCGCACACACCCGTCACCCCCATACTCGCCACCCCCAAACCCTAACACAGGCAGCACGGGGCGGGAGCGGGGGCGCACACGGCAGGGCAGGTGCGCGCGGGCCTGGCGCAGGCTGAACGGGCCGCGCATGGGCCTGGCGCAGGTCGTACGGGCCGCGCATGGGCCTGGCGCAGGCCGTACGGGCCGCGCGCCGGCCTGGCGCAGGCCGTACGGGCCGCGCGCGGGCTAGGCGGGTCGCGGGCGGGCAAGGCGCAGGTCATACGGGCCGCGCGCGGGCCTGGCGCAGGCCGAACGGGCCGCGCGCAGGCTGTACGGGCCGTGGGTCCCGGGGGCGCGTCGACGAGCGACGGGGGGCGACGCGCACGTCCCCGGGGGCGCTCCGACAGAGCAGCAAACCACCCGGGCAGGGCAGAAAACCGCCGCGCGCCCAGCAGGGCGGCGCGACGGGCAGGGCGCGCGGCGGGAAGAAAAATTGCCGCGCGCCATGAGCGCGCGGCAGGCAGAAAAACGGCGCGCGATAGGCAGGACAGCAGCGGAAGCTAACGGTGGGCCCATGCACAGGATCGACCCGGGAGGGTCGACCTGCTCTGATTCCATGTTAGAATCTAGAACGGATGAATGAAACAGAGAAGAGGATTTTCATTAGCAGGCAGTTGAGTACATATAGCAAACCCTAAATTGAGCTGTACTCACTATAGAGTACCCCACTGCAGACTAGAGAAATTACACATTCTGACAGCCCTCAGGTGTGTTCCAGGTGCTCTCAGGTATGCGGCATGTGCTCTCCTCAGGTGTGTCTCAATCCTCGTAATCCGCGTTTTCATTTCATCACATCCCAACTTGACCTCTCGCCCCTCAACATCCTACCTGCTGCTCCAGGAGTCAAGACTCACAACCCTGGATACCCTCAACAGTCCCCACAACACCATCTGCTCCGACTTCTACACATCCCCAATCAGTGACCTGCTCTTTGCTGCAAAATAATTGCAGCTGCATTTTTCTATCACACCCAACTCATGGTTTAGAATAAGGGCATGTTCCTACGGCCCCTTATCAGGGCCGCCTCTTATCAGCCTCGCTAAATTCACCTTTAATTTGGCTGGAGCGAGAAACCTCTTCTCATATGTACTTGCCGGTTTGCATTTGTGTGCGAACTTGAATGCTGGATGATGTGGCACGCTGCGACCCAACCGCGGGCATCAGTTTGTGACGTCCCATGAGAACTGCGATCCGTTCAATATGCGACATCACCACATAAGTGTCAGAAAGAACGAACGAGAATGAATTAACTATGAAAGAGTTGGGTACAAGTACTAACCCTAATTGGGTTGTACCCCTTATGGGCTACCCCACTATAGCCTACACAAATGTAAGCACTATAACATTCTGACACACCCCCATAGGCAAAGTGGGGGAGAACAATTGGTCACAAGACCAGTCAAGAAAAGCAAAGCAAGCTTAGGGTGGATCACAAAGTCACCACACAGTCCGAGCACAAGCAAATGGCCACAAGACCAGTTCACATGCAGAGTTATATAAAAGAGAACAAACAATACAGTGATCATACCCTAGCAAGTGCAAGCATGCATGTACATATATACCGTATGGCCCCTGATATAGGCGCCGTCCGATTAAAGGCGCCGGCGCCTCTATCTGGAGCATGGCGCTTATGGCCGGAACTCGATTATAAGCGCACCCCCTGAAAATTCTATCCTTATTATAAGCGCATCCCTTAACCTTTCATTGGAGGCATTACAAAAGATTTTACTAAATTGTCACTTTTTCTAAGCAACATCAAATTAAGCTAGATCTCCTAACAACAAGTTTAGCCGGGGTACTTCTACCTACGGTAACATGGATCATACAGTACCCCTCCTACTCCTCCTCGTCAGATTCGGGCTCCTGGCAGTTGTTGCCAAAAAAACCATCAGCGATGATGTCATCGTCGACATCCACTTCAGCTGTCAGCTGGCCCCGCCTGTGCGCCATGGCGAGTCCGTCCTCACTGCCGTCAAGCTGGTTGCTGATGCCACAGGTGAGGAAGGCATGCTTGATGAGGTCGGCCGGCACTGCCTTCCAGGCTTGTGATACCCACCGCAGGACGACCTCTGGTGAAGGCTTCTTCAGGTTCCCTGAAACATTACGGGAGAACGGTGGAAAGCAGTTAGTGCAACAACAAAGAATTCGGGGGGGGGGGGGGGGGGGGAATACCGTACTCATGCCATACCTGCTGCCGTCAGCTGCTCTTGCCCCTCTGCCTCAAACCACCTCTGGTACTGCTGGCGGACCGACGCCTTAAAGCTCTTGTTGATGCAGACATTGAGCGGCTGTACCTCCGCCGTACAGCCCGACGGGATGATCGCCGGCACGCAGTTCATCTCGCGGAGCTTCTCCTTCACCTCCTCGGTGAGGTGACCGCGGTAAGAATCCAGCACCAGCATCGAGCTCTTGGCGTGTCTGCCGAACCGAGGCTTCAGGAACGGCTTCACGCCCTCCTCAAGCCAGCAAACGACGCCAGGGGAGTCCATCCACCCGTTCTCGTGGCAAGCCACGGCCATATCTGCATGAAACACGCACGGGTGGTTAGAATTCGAACTCTGAAAAGAACGCAGTGACCGAGCCGTGCACCTCTTTACTTACCGGCAGGGAAATCGCCCTTCGGCAAGGTTTTGCGCTTGAAGAACACCCACGGCTTCAGCTTCCTTCCGTCCGCCGTGCACGCCAACATAACGGTCACTCTCTGCTTCTGATACCCCGCGCTCCTGATAGGCACCGAGCGAACACCCGTTTCCTCCACGGTGGTGGTGGCGGGCATCTCCAGCCAGAGCGGCGTCTGGTCCGCGTTGATGATCCAC